ATTTGATTTGATTTGATTTGATTTGATTTATACCCTGCCTATCTGTACTACTCGCCCACTCTAGGCGGCTTATTGACTTATTATTTTCAGTTGAGGGATGGGCTGCAGATGGAGGGTGTGGAAAAGCAATCCTGGATGTAGTTGTGAATTTGAATCATAACTCGAAGATCTTCAGACATTCATAATAAGGCCCATCTGTTCCTTACCTGAACTTCATTCTTTGTTGTGATCTTGGTAAAATTGTCCATCCACGTGGTTACATTGATTTTTACTCCAACAACTAACAAGAAATACATGGCATATAAGGAAAGTAAAGGAAACAGAAAAAAGTAAAATCATAATATTTCCAGATATTTCATAATAGAAGATATTATCTGAGCTCAGTGGTTGAATTGTAGAATATCCCTCTACCTCTCCTCTCTAAAACTAAAAGCTTTATTAATAAATCTGTTATAACCTCAGTATAACCAAATATGGGGAAACAGACTTAAAAGAAAACCAGGTAACAAATGCTTTTTGCTTTAGAACTAGACTTTTAATTGTATTTTACTATGTTCAATAGCAAATGATATTTCTTCATAGAATAATAGTTTCATTATTTCCTACCTGCAGGTTTCAGTAGTTTTCCATTGACTGTTATTTTCACTGCCTTGCTTACCATAACACCGTCTTCAGAGATGCTTCCTGAGATTTAGCAGAGGAAGAAAAAAATAAAACCACCTAAAGGTTAATAAATGACAGTGGAACAATCTTAGCATATCCCAATTCTCAAATAAACTTGTTAAGAGTCAAAGACTACTGAACAAGACTGCCATCTTGTGAGTCTTTTGGTCAAATTAGGGTGCAAGTGTACTGACCCTTTTGGTGCGGTCTGGTGCAGTCTAAATAGGGGTGCTTGAGGTTGTGGGGAAGACTGATATGCCATTTGAGTACAAGGATTATGCATCCAAATGGCATATCTACCTCAAGTGACCCTCTGGCCCCTTCTGTTGCCAACTGAACATTTCCCCTCCTTCTCTATGGGGGAGAAATGAAATTAGTATTTTTGCCTGTGATGATGCACTGAATCACTGAGAATAAAAATGTTTTAAAAAACTTATTTCCCTTGTGTGTACTGCTGATTAATAAACTAGCTACAACAATTGTTTCAATCAGGACTTCACACAAAGGCATTTTTTTTTAAAAAAAATCTAAGTGATTCAGTGTAACAGCAGTGATCTAGCACAGGCAAAAAATAACAATTTCCACAGAGGAGCAAGGGAAATGTTCGATTTACTGATACCCTGAAGTGGCTTGCATATTAAGCCATTTCACAATACCAGAAATTGATACTGGAAGGAATCTTGGCAGCTTTGACATCTTCAAGGCTCAATTTTAGCCCATTCCCAGTGATTGCACACCCTGGAAACAAACCAAATAGTACTTCTACCTGCACCAAAAACGCAGAAACCCCCCCCCCCCAAAGAGGGCCCAGGAAGGTGAAGATTGGAGTCCTCTCCGGACAAAATGGTCCATTCTCGCAATTATATCATGTGGTTGTCAGGAAAAAAAGCAAATCAATCCAACCCCACAAAGCACCAAACAGCAGGACAATTGCCAAACCAACTAGTACATCTACCTGCACCAAAAACATAGAAGCCCCCCAAAAAGGGCTCAAGAAGGTGCAGATTGCAGTGCTCTCTGGACAAAATGGTCCATTCTAGCAATTACGTCATGTGGTTGCCAGGAAAAAAAGCAAATCAATCCAACTCCACAAAGCACCAAACAGCAGGACAATTGCCTCTCTGGAGGAGTCCTTAGACTCCTAATGTCATTAGGAATGAAAACCTTATTGATTTCAGTATGATCTTTTCTCTCTTCAGAAAGGATTAATTGCATATGAATATAACAACGTGATAATTTGGGGGCAATAAGGGCAGGCAAATCTTTATCGCCTCTTCCACCAAAAACTAATAGAGGTTCTCTCTCTCTTCTCTTCCAAAAACAAAACAATCACTTTTGTTGATGTGGCAAAAAGTGATCTTTCAGACTGCATGAAAAAGATGGGACCACAACTAGGACCAAGGAATACTGTGGTAAAGGAGTAATGCTTTCCACCAGAGACTGTGAGTAGGGGCGGGCAATGTGTGCCCTATGCAGTCTCTGGTGGCATTTTCACAGTCCTGGGATGTAACCAGCTAAGACTGGTCTAATAATCATCATAGTCACCATCCATATTTCTCCTCCTGGAGGCATTCGGGAGGCCTTCTATTTTTTTTCTTTTTGGTACTGGGGACTTTGAGTCATCCACTAGACACCCCCCTTAAAAAAAAACAAGAGTGAACGTGCTTGTCTTGATGTTACCTCAGTTATTGCTATTTATAGCACTGCTAAATTAGGAAACAGACACCCAGGATTATGTTATGCGACTCTCCTCTATACCAAAAATCTCCTTTTCCAGATGTCATAGTTACATATGATGGATAGACTGTACAATAATTTTTTTCCTGCTAATATATGTAGTGTTTCTAATAATATACCATATGTAGCTAAACATCTAAAATATTTAGCTAATGCAATAGGCAAATGGAAAGTTCCCTGAAGGTTGCCATTGATACTTGCAGTCTCCAACATTTGTTGAAACCACACAATTTTTGTGCCAAAAATCCCTCTCCCACAAATATTACTTTGCTATCTGCAGGATCCTGGTATCCAGTCCAGAATTTCATAACTTTCTTGGAGCTTCGCATATCCTTAAAACCTACTCCCTAAAAGAAGTAGATCTGGGTTGTATTTGTAGATCTTTCAAATTACTCCTTTTATTATTGAAGAAACACATATACTTTGTCAATAAAGCCTTAGCTTGTAAGCAAGCTCCTTGACACTAATAAGACACTTTGGATGCCCCATGACTTACTGTTGTAGAAGGGAGCAGTGAAGACATAGTTTTCATTATCTAAGCTCCTCTTATAGAAACTCATTTCATATGTTTCAGCATTTTCTGTCCAATATTCGCCTGCACTGAACATAAGACATGAAAGTCAGCTTTAACTGTTTATCTTGATATTTTCTCATGGACTACTAGCACAATCCCCCAAACATCTGCTCAGAAGTAAGTCGCCAGAAGCTTTTTAGAGCTTATTGCCATGAACTGTTAACAAGATTTCACCCACAGGAGAAAGCTGTGTTAAACCTCAATGGAACATACTTTTGAGTTACATCACAGGATTTATTGTTAGCTGTGATAGCCAAGAAGCTTAAAACATTGTTTTAACAGTCCCAAATGTTCTGAACACTAGATTTGTTATATTGCGAAAACCAGAAACATGTCAAGAGATAAGCTGAGTTCCAGTGGATTGCACAATTAATCAGACATGACACAAGAGATTCAGAGTTTGTTTAGCAGGACCTCTTTCTGCCTCGTGGCAAACTTTGTTTAAAATGGAGTCCACTTTGAAAGGAAGTGGGTAATATGGGATTGGTGTTTGGCTTTGTTGCTGCTGCTGTTGTTATACAACTTTAGGACTATTCCACAGGGTGTGACTGAAGTCATTTGCTGGATCTTGGACAAGTTATGTAGGAAGAATTCAGGATAAGAGAACATCTACATTTACCTCAACTGAATTTCACGATGGGAAAATCACAAATTCTATTTAGGGATTATGCTTAAACTGGGTACATTAAAAAAACTGGAAAGTGAACGGAGCCACGTGGTGTAATCCTACCCGCACTCCAGTTCCTGACTTCCTTGTGTACAATGACAGTAGGGCTCTCCATCCCATAAAGTGCCTGCTCCCAAGCCCTCCACATTTTGGGGATCTCATTATTTGCCACAGTGTCTTTCTCCAAGAACACTGATCCACACCACCAGATCCTCACGGGCTATATGCCTTTCAGTCAGCGCACCAAGGAAGGCCAGAAAAACATCCACCAGTACTCAAGCCTTCTCAGCTATGGCATCAGCCCTCTGAAATGGGTTTTCACTTGAACTGCCCCTCGCTCCCTCTCTCCCAAGCTTTAAAAGAGCGCTTAAGATGATGCTCTTTACAGAGGCTTTCAATGGCATCTTCACACAAATTAGCCAATTTGTGCTGATTTTATTTTATTACTGTACCCTTTATTGTTTATTTTTATTGTTATATTACTGTATATGTTTTCATTTGACTGTTAATCACCCAGAGTACTGCCTAGCACTAACTGGGTGGTAGACAAGTTTAAGAAATAAATAAATAACAGAGTTCCCAGCAGAATAAAAAATTCTGCTCATGTTCAAGGAAACACGAGGGGAGGAAACAGTGCCCAAGAAAAGAGGGAAGAGGGATCGCATGCATCGCCTTGTGCCCTTTACACATATTCACATGTGCTGCTTCAGCTTAGTTCAACATGTACATTTATGAGAAATAAAGTTCTTGATTGAGCAGACCAAGGACCCTTTGTTTATTTTGAAAATCTGGTCCTAGACACCCTACTCATCCATGCAGGGTATTCTCTTTCATGCGGAAGCTCCTCTTTTCAAAATGGAGCAAAACCAGAATGTTGTATGTTTCTGTTCAGTGAAAAGCAAGAGTAGGCAACACACTGCTGTTGGCCCACAAGTGCCTCTCACTCAGGCCGTTTTTGCAGTTGCTGTCACTACAGCCTCATACTTCCACTACTGCTACCAGCATCTCATTGCCCAAACCTGGCATGAAGCAAAGCCCAGGACTTTGTAAGCCTTCCTTTCCTGGACGGACGGACGGACGGACGGATGGACAGACGGACGGAAGGACGGACGGAAGGAAGGAAGGAAGGAAGGTAGGAAGGAAGGAAGGGACTCTTCTGAAGCGGGAGGGCACTCTGGGAGCTGTTGCCAAACTTCACATTTAACCATGGCCGTGGTTTAGTGTCCGTTGCTGAATTTTGGCAGCAACAATATACAGTAGCCTTTAATTCTTGAGTAGGACAACTTGCCACAGAGAAGTTGCCAAGCCCTAGCATAAAGGCCTATTTAATATTCCACAGCCAGCTGGCAGTTTCTATGAGGGTTTGAAAGAACTATAACGGCAACCCTGTGACATTTCCTCAGTAAAGCCAGGAGGAAAGTGATGTAATTGAGACCATGGATGGTTAAAGTTTCGTTGCTTAGTCAGTCTTTTTTTTTTTTAAAGGTGGTTTACATTGGTGGAACTGGTGCTAGTGAAATTTTCAGACTCAACTTGATGGCCTTTAAAGCTGTGGGTTCTTTGAACAGCATATCTCTCGACTTGGTCAATGAACCATGCTTTAAGGCAATAGCTATGTCTTGAAGAAACAGTTTTCTTTTAAAAACACAGAAGCTGTGAAAAATCAGCGTCAAGAATTTCAGTAACTCCTGACAACAAGAAAGGTTTTCTGCCAAAATAATTGCTGACTAAAATTGAATCTTTCCTGCGATGCGCAAGCAGGTTTTTATTCAGTTCAATCACTTATCACAGCCCCCTTCCAGGTCTTTCTTCACCCTGAGGAATGCCGAGATCAGCTGCTTACATAATCCATCTAACTTGTTCACAGCCAGGCCCTATCTGTTAACCTATTTGTCACTTCCAGCCTTCCAGATCTCATACTCTTTTCTGATTGGTTGGCACTTAGTGGAGTGGTAAGCTGCCTGGGGAATTCTGGGAGTTGTTGTCCAAAACCACAAATCTGCACACTTTGAGTTGAGATGCACCACTAGGAGTATATTCATTCCTCTGTTACAAATCCAACAAAGAATTAGCCCTTTCTAAGGGTCTTATTTCTCTGTTGTATCACTTAGAATTAAATGGGCCCTTACCTTTTAGGATACACTCTGGTGATTCCTCCATCAGTAGCTACAAATCGTGCTCTAATTCCTTCTCTGTGGAAAAGAGAAAGAGAGAAAGAGCTCTGATTAAAAACTTAATTTGAAAGTATAGCCAGCTGTGTAGACATACTGAGCCAGATCCAGTTTTAGCCAAATTTAGAACAGGCTCAAAGGGCTGGTGTTGATGTTACACCCACAGTAGCTGCAAAATTGCCCAGGCAGAAGTGCTCTCCATGAAGCCAGCATATTGAGCAATGGTGCCAATTGGAACTGCACAACTGACTAAGCAACTGAATCATGCAATTCCCTGTTGCTGGGCATGACACTCAACTAATTATGTAGGTGCAACTTTATGTTACGCCTGCACGAACAGGATTTTGGCCAATGGATCTCATTTAAGTATGAACAAGTTTGGAACTAGCTCACCATTTACAAAGACATGCATAGAAGGCTTTGAAGCAAATAACTTAAAATATTATATATTATGATTTATTTATCGTTTGCTTTGATTATTCAGAATGCATGTTTTCCTCCAATGCTGTTTTAATACACCATAACAATTAAAAATCAGGAATATGTCTTTTACTTGTGTTGGGGATAGGGAGGAAATGAACACTCACGGGTCCTGCTTACTCCAGTAATTCTGAACAAGTTCACTTGTAAATCCTGCATCCAATAAAGCTCTCATAACCATATCATTACCTATTAAAGGAAATAAGTAAAGTGCCAGTTAGGACTGTAGGACACTACGTTACTGACTGGTGGTCCATGAAGCTCAGTAGATTGACTGGCAGTGGTTCTCTGGAAGTGCATATAGTGGCCACTCAAAAATATATACTTTCTCACCTTCTGGAATGCTTTTGGTAGAAGAGACAGAAAGGTTTCCCTTGAAGATCTTGAAGTTTGGGCACACTTGAGACAGCCTGAATTGAAGACTGGACTCAAGCTGTGTCTCTTCCCTGTGGTGTGCCCTGTCCTCATAATTACAAACAACTTTGATTTCAATTATTTAAAAGTTGAAACCTCTACAGCTTGACTTTTGCTACCTCTCGTTCAAACAAATATTTTCTTTATTATTCTTTGGAACTACTTCTCACACTTACACTGTCATATTCAGCAAATGATTACATTTCATGAGTAAATTAATACTTACATGAAGGGTTCTGGGGTGTATACCGATCTATAAATTCACTGAAATTCAGGAGAAATGCAGTGTTGTTGTCAGTTATTTTCACAGGACTACAGTAGTCTCTAGAAAAAAAAAAGAGGGAGAAAAGATTTTAAATTGTTTTTAATACCCTCAATAAAGCAAAAACATCACCTATACTTTCGGGTGAATGAGCCTGTGATTGCATGTGTTACAACACTGAATCAACTTTCTTAGTATTTGATACCATTTTTCACTTAGTGGCATGTACCACCTACAAGCAGTTGCATAGATGTGCTTGTCTCTCTTGCCTCTGACAACCCAGAGATATCCAATGATCAAATTCTATTAAACATGAAATCTGGAAGAGTGAAATGTTAAAAAGAGAGACAGATGAGCTGAGCTCTTTTTTACTTTGAGTGATCAACCTTGATACATGACCTATAATAAACAATACAGTGTTTATTCTTGTAGTAACATGAACATTAAATATATTGCAGCTATCATTTTAAATTCAGAGGCAACATTTAGAATGAATGGAGTGTATTGCACATACCCACATGAGCATATATCTATGTGCTACAATGAAAGCATTCCTGAGGGGCATAGATATTTCTAGCTAATTTAATATTCAACTCATAATGCAAGTGTAGTTTTCTAAAGAAGAAAAACAACAAAAAAGTTCCTAGATTTGTATTTTGTAATGACACATATGTTGACTGCTATAATTATCATGGGTGATTTTTTTTAAAAAATTAAAAGTTATGGAAACTTTTAAAAACAAATTAGTTGTGGTATACAGTCCAAAGGATGAAAAAGTAGTTACCATTGTAACAATTTCTTTAAAAAAGCTTCACTCTCCTGTTTCTCATAATTTATTAAAATAATTATTCCTTAGCTTAGAAAAGAGGACACATCCAACTACAGCCGCATGCACTTGACTCAGGCAATACTCCTCCTTCATCATTTAGTGAGGCTATACCTATATGTATAAAACTAAAACCTTTGGTAAGAGGAGTGATAGAATCTCTGTTTACATTAAGATAACAATGGAACGTAGGTGATTCTTAGATGATTAGATAAAATAAATTAACTAGAAGTAACTTGTTATTAATATTTCATTGCTTCCAAGATCTGAAAAAAGTAATCTGATAAAGGTGGCCTAGAAGACACGGCTTTTTCACTGAAATTTCAGTCTGAACAAGAGGCTTAGTATGTTCAGAATCTTGCCCCTTCTACTGATATCTCTTGAATGTTCTAAAATCTGGTGTGCTGGGTTTTGGCCAACCTGAACGAAAGGTCTGGAAGTAAAAAAGCCTAGTGAGAACCTTTCCAATAGGGCAGAACTGATTCAGAAGGGCAGAAACAGATGTCATAGACTGATCTGAGCTGAAGCCATATTCTACAGCAGATGGATAAAGATACAAAGGACCAAAGAAGCAGATTATGTGGTTGAAGGTAGTGGGCTAAGGTATCCAGAAGAAAAAGAGAGGACAAGATTCCTGTACATGTAATAGAACATGAAGATGAAGTTTTAAATCCAAGGTACAGCTGCTGAAATTTCCTCCTCAACACAAGTATCAAAGGCACAGGAAACCTGTCCTCTTTTTCATCTGCTCACCCTACACAGGGTAGCTTCCAGACCAGGCAGGTGGGATACAAAGGACGAGAGAGGCATGAGTTGTCATCAAGGGCTCATGTCAGTCAAAGAGTCAGATTCCACAGCAGACAGAAAAGATAGGTGAGACAGGACAAGGAATGGTGAGGTAAGGAAAGAGGAGATAAAGCAAAGAAGAAGGGGAAGTCTGTTCATCCACTTCTCAGAGCAACTAATTGTTTGTACTGAGAGCTGTTCTGATGTCAGGGCCTTACAGCTCCTCAAAGGTGATGGTACAATCAGGATACAGTCTGACAAGATAAAGTTATCTGGGCAGCATTCTGAGGGCCAACATGCATGGGAAGGGTTGGATGGGACAAACTATTCAAAAATTGGAGCTGGTAGGGATTCCCCAACAAAGAGTGCATGATAAGCTATGGAGGATTTTTAAAAGATATGTCATCGGTCATAGGTCATTTCAGCTGCTATCGTTTCAAGCTGTTAGTGGGGACTGTGAGAGGCTCAGACCACAACAAATCAAATAAAACTGAGAGGGTAAAATTCATTCAGAGGAAGTCTACCATTTTTTCTCTGGCCAGAATACAATTTGCTATTTACACTCGCATAAATGAAATCATGTAAAACCATGGGAGCAATCTGTCACTAATTAATGTGGTACCGGTTGTGTTCCTGGGCACACATCCAACTGTGTCAGGCACATGTCCAAGAAAGCAAGCAGAGCATCATTAATTAGTGGGAATATGCTGTTGCAACTTTTGCAAATTCACAAATGCCAGTGTAAACTGCCAGCTGGATTCTGACCACTGTTTCTTTCGTAGGGCTTCCAGCTTAGAACAGCACTTAGAAGTGCATGCATTCCATATAAGATCACACAATGCAGGGATGGAGAATCATTGTCTCTCCAGATATTTCGGCAACAGTAACCTTTGGATTTCAATGCCCACATAGCTAATGGCAAGAGATTGTGGAAATTATCGTCCAAACATATAATGGACAAAAGGTTTCTCACTCCTGACTTAGCTGGTTATTAAAATGGAGTTTTCACTGTATCTGGTAAAGAGTTAGTAGCCTCTTTTGCATGGTACTTGAATGGAAAGGCAAAAAGTACAGAGGGGGGCTTTCCCCAGCCTTATCCATGCCACCCATATATTCGCATGAACAGGAATGCATACTCCAAATGCATACACTTTCCCAAGTCATGGAATCCTGATCATGAATGGTTTCAGGTTCCAACCAAGCCAACTTGCATACTTTTTAGGAGTATAAAGAAATCTTGCCAATGTTTTGTTTATGGTTGAGCTGTTATTGTTATTACAAGGTCTTATATAATTTTTGACTTATAGCAACGGCATGAATTAATGGCCTCCATGAGATCGCATTTTTAACAGGCCAGTTTTGCAAAGTAAAGGTTGTAGATTCCTTTATTATGCCAACCCATCACATGTAAAGTCTTCATCATTTCTTAATGCCTTCCACTCTTCCTTGGATTATTATCTTTTTATGGGATGTTATGTCCAAAGTATAACATAGCATTCCATCATTTTAGCTTCTAGTCAGGCTGGAGGCTTGATTTTCCTAGAACCCATCTTTTTGTCTTTCTTGTCCGTAAAACAAAACTTTCCAAAACCACATTTTGAAAAAATCATTTTTTTCCCTGCCAGCTCTCTTTATTATCCAGCTTTCACATCCATACGTAGTAACCAGGAATATTACAGTATCATCTTTTAATACACTAGAAACTGTGGATCTGCCTTGGGTCCATAAGTAAGGTGGAAGAGTTATCTATCACGATACCAAATCTAAAATCATGGGGTTTGGGGGAAAGCCTCAGATATATAAATGGGCTTTGGATGGAAATCAGAGAAAGTTGGGTATACACAAACATTTGGAGATGGATTTGATGTAAATCTCACATGGTATGTCAGTAAACTGCCAAGCAGCAAAATCATTATTTAACTGCAAAGATTCTTCTGTTCAAGAGATGGCCAGCTAGTTAATCCCATAAAATCTTTAATATTAATATTTTACAAACAAAAGAATCAACTTATGAACAAGTTGTTGATCCCAATATGACGATTATTTTACTATTCCTTAAATTACAGTATAGAGAACATTAACATTTTAACATAGTGACTTGCTATTCAATATAATTGAGTGTGTAGTCATATTGACCTTCCAGCTACTAAGGTAAGACACTATTTACTTTTTATCAAAATCTGAAGTTCAAAGGCTCCAATTCAAGTACTGTTTATATTATCTTACTAAACAGTATGTTAAATTCATTCCAAATTAGTTGAATATAGGTTTTACAGATATGTCAGTCATGGATTAACATAGGGCCAAGCAATAATACCTATATAATTATTATTATAAGGGCAAGCAATTCTTTACACCAGGAAAAGTACTAACCTTGGTGCTAAAAATGTATATCCAAATTCATCAAATCGATCTAACTTCAGGGTTTCAGTAACTACAAAGATGAAAAGGCAACAGAAATATATTAGATTAGCCTTTTATAGTACTGAGCTCCTTGATGATTTATTTTTTTTCAACACTTCTTAAGTCAAGAAAGTACACTATGACCATAAATTTTCCCTTGCCCCTCCTCTTTGTGTTCCACTCATCCACATCTGGAATGGGAAACTGTGGTTTAAAGTTACCATGATACCAAACCAGAGATACGATGTGAAGGGGAAGGATTAGGGAGAGTATGCTAGCATGATACCTGTTCACATCTGACCAAATCTCAGCTAGGATCATTCCACCTGAACATGGGAACCACCAAGACCTACAATGGCAAAATGTCAGGAGGCATGGACCCTCAAGCTCTTTCTTTCAAGACAGGGCAACACCTGGAGAAGGAGCAAGCTAGTCACACTCCACTGATACTTAGTCACACCAAAAACAATGTATCTGAACAGAGGAGCCTCTTCTATCCATGGAGGCTCTCTGTTTTAAACTCGCTGTTTTCCATATAAACAAAGCAATGGTGGAGAGGGTGGGGCTGACATGCCCGTCTCTCACATATTTAATTAACCCAAAAGAGAATCCATGAATAGGCCTAGGAAGGTATGCAGACAATATGTACTGATGTCCCAGGCAGAAAAAACAAATAGTTACATCTGAATGCAAACACTTTGACTAATAAATATTATGATCAGTATTTCCACTTCAAATGTGGATTTTTCTTGTCTATCATTAAACAGCAGAAATGTGGCATGAAACTATATAACTATTGTTATATCTAAAAACTATCACGTTGACTCACTGAACATGACAAATCAGTAACTGAAATATGTAGCTATTAGGATGCCTGGACCAAGACAAAAGTGCTTGTAAAATTTGTCATGATTGAAATATTTTACTAAGCATGAGGTTATTTCGGAGTTGCTTGAGACACGTGTTTGTTGAAGAAATGAGCATCTTCATGAACCAGCAGGTGACAAGGGTCAAACAAACAAGGAGAAGAGAACAATAAACTGTAAAGCATACAGGCTAAGGAGAGACACCATAAAATATATGTGTGTTGTTCCTTCTCTGTCTTTATAATACCCAACTGGCAAAGGAGAAGCCCTAAGACAAAAGATACAGAGGACAGCAACCAGGGGGAGTGGAAATATATTGGAAAATATCAGCACCAGTAAACAGAGGGAAATTGAGCAACGAGAATATACTTGCCCTTTGGGTCTGTGACAATCCATCAGAACGAGAAGGCAAGGAGACAGAAAAAACAGGGTAAAGAAAAAGGGGTCACAAACCAATATTTTATTCAACCAGCTCCTTGAATAAAAATATTGTGGCATAGAGATCAGAGGTCCATTTTTTGCACAGCTCTACTCTGGAGGAAAGACAAACATCCTTGAAGACTTGAACACATGTCTGTTGTCAATTATTTCTTTAATATACCTTGTATGTACTGCACCTATTTAAAGTGTCTGCATAAAGGGCATATTGACTCAGGGGGGCTCCTAAGAAATTCAGCCCAGAAGCATTCATTTTGAACTCTCATTTTACAGATCTCTCCCAAGTACAGAATGCTGAAAAATAAATCATACAATGTGATGTGGTGTTAAAATATACTCTATTCATCACATTTCTACAAAACGGTTTGAAATCTGACTTTGGAGATGATGACAATTCTGGAGCAATTCATATACCATATGGAGCACCAGTAAAACTATGGGATATCTTTTGGGGAGCACTTTGGAGCATGTCTACTTAAGCAATCTAAGAGTAGTGGGTTAGATATCTGACTGCAGAGCCAGAGGTTGGGAGTTTGATTCTCCACTGTGTTTCCACAACATGACATGGACTCAGTGATCCATAGGTCCCCTTTCAGCTCTGAAGTTCTAAGATGATGATGATGATGATTTACTAGTGTGGAGGAAGAGAAAGAAAATATGGCAGTGTTGAAAATCATCAATATGGAAGAGGTTCAAAAGTTAGAATTTAAGCTCTATAGTAGGCCTGCACATGTTGTGACCTACCAAGCTCCTCACGCCCCATAGCTGAGACTTCAGGGGCTCAGCAGACCTGTTTTGTCTCCTGCAAGAGGCAGCAACATCATTAAGAATGCAGGCCTGTTCTGAAAATGGGTATCATGAGTTTCTCAGTCAATACAAAGCATAGAATCCTCAGCTTAGTGGAAATTTGGAGATAAGCAGCAGAGAGAAACTGAGCAGAAAGGACTTGTTTCTGTTTCCCATGAATAGATGTTAAAAGTATTCTTCATGGAACTGTTATTGAAGACATCCTTCATCTAAAGACAAAGCTTTTGGAATGTACCAAACCAGTGTTTAGGAGGAGCTTCACTAACTTCAACTCCATTTTTGTATATAATTCAGTTGGTGGTTACTGTTAAAGTCATTCACATATTAAGTTGCATGAGTATTTACATCATGTTTGACGACTGCCTTCTGAGCACTCCTTGTGTGTCAATGGAGGCAATGCCCTGCCTATGGTAATTCATTGCATGGAGATTTATGGTACCTGGTGAACCCTTTTTAAAAATTTTCCAAGAAGGGTATAGTTCTAATTTTTAAAATGACTTTATCGGGTTTTAAATATCAGCTTCTATTTTATGAGTGTGGTGCTATTTGTTGATGCTGCATATTGAAGTCGTTGGGCTAGCTAAGCATGGAGACTTGATCATCCAAAGGATGGCCACCAGGTAACTATAGTTACAATGCACTGAATAGTTGCAAACTTGCAATCAGTGTAAGGAATACCTGCACTGATAAAATCACAGATCATCTGTGTGGGGGAATGCCCCTCCACAAAGTTGCTAAGCTGTTGGCTTTCATCTACAGTAGAGGGCAAACTCTCCTGGATGATGTCACAGCTGCTTCTGGGAGGAGCTGCCACCCATTTTTCTTCTTTCTCATAGGTGATAGAGAGCTTGCTTAATTGCCTTTCCTTGGGCCAATCATTATGTAACCATTGTCCTATCTGAGCTCTGTCAACGATCTGTATACTCTAAACTATCTGTGAGCTTGTAAGATTAATAAAACACAGTCCTCCTGGGGGCACGGCAGTCATCCTGTATGAGGTTCTCTCCTTCTAGTTGCCCATCACGAGCACTGCTAGCAGGCATCCATCCTTGTGTGTGGCTGACTTCTTTAACTTCTCTAAGACTATTTGCTATCCTAATTACTTGTGACTACATAGACTATTAGCCTGCTCATTTCGTGACTCCAACAATCTGTGGGAAGGGGAGGATTTGATTTCCTATTTTATTTTGTCTTCTCCACTTTGAAAACAACTTGTCCACCTTTCTCTTAATAATGGCTGAAAGTTATTTTTGCACCTTGCTAGTACACACAGAGTTGACAATATTAAATCAGTCATCAGTCATTTAATTTGGCAATAAGTAGCTTCAGTAGAGTTGAGGTACAAGTAAATGTGTATACTATTTGGTGTTAGCAATACAAATTCACACATAGCTGGAAATGTAAGTATCGTTCTAATGTATTGCTTCTAATTTCATAAGCCAGAGAAGAATGAACCCAACCTTGGATAACCCAGGTGTTCTTGGATTGCAACTCCCAGAAACCCTAGCCAGCACAACTAGTATTGAAGGTTTGTAGGAGTTCCAGTACCAGAACACCTGGGTCACCCACATTTGGGCACCATTGCTCTAAGACATACTTGAAATTCATTTAGATTGAATACAGGATATTCTTGGTGTACCTAAGAGGTTCTCTCTTATCTAGTATGTGATGTGGTACCTTTTCTTCTTTATTTCTCATGTTGGAGACAACTTGAAAATAATCTAGATTGCATCCATTCATATTTCAAGCATAGTACCCAGCATTCAAAACAATCCAGTTACAGCCCCAAATGAAACAAACATAATTTCATCCAGATGGCTTGAGTGGTGTCAGTCTGCTGCACAATTGTGCAGAAAACTACAGTGTTTTTAGAAAGCAACTCTGCTAAACTCTAGAATTAATAATTTACAGACCGGAAATCAGGAACTATGAGACCCTTAAAAAAGACAGCAACAGAGGATACGCAAAGCAATGATTCCGGAGGTAAATAAGCAAGGAGAGGGGGAAGAAATAAAGGGAGACTAGTGCAACTAGGGTAGAAGAATATATTCTACTTTTATAGAATACTTTTCACAGCATTGTGTAGAATACATTCACAGAATGACTTAGAATCATTGTTGCAGAGCTGGGGGAATACGTCAGGGCAACATCTAGTGAATCTCACATACTTTATGACCTTCAAAGAAATGAACAGTTGTACACCATAGCAACTCTCTAGATCCAGAGAAAATTCACACAGTTACTCCCATTTAGCCTGGACATTAGCTTTACATTAAATTACTTACATTACGTTACTTACATTTAGCCTGGATTAGTGGTTCATTGAGGGCGGCTTTAATATAGTAAAAGCTGTAGGATGGCAGTACCAAGGCCAAACTGCAGAGGAAACATGAGAAGCATAAAGAGTGAAAAGGAAGCCATTGTTTAATACCAGTGGAGTTTTCAGCAGATCAAAGTTTCCTCCAATTTTGACGTGTATTCGGAAACAAGTAACAAAATATAGTTTAATAGGATACATTTATTTCATTAAATCCACCTATGGCTTTCAGTTCTGTCACTTCTAAAACCCTCAAAATTAATGATGAAATCCAGAAAATGAGGCAGTTCCACACCCATGTTTTTGCTCTTCACATTTATAGAAGTCACAATTTTTTTTCTGGCTAAGCCTAATTGAAAATGTGTATTGCAGGTCAGGTACAGAGTTCGGTGCAAATAGAAAACACTGGGGTGGATGGGTGTTTTGCTGATGCACTTTGAATTGGCTTGTGACTTTTATTCTTGTATTCTCGAAAGCTTTCACAGCCGGGACAAAATAGAGTTTTGTTTCATAAGACAGGTATTTCGCTTTCCTGTGGAGTGTTCACACACCACTGTAAGTGAACAGACAGTTGTTTTAATGGGACAAACTACTTTTCAAAGCAGATGATAAGCTTTGTTTTGTACCTCACTCCCCGAAGGAAACGTTGTCACCTGTATGTATGTGCTTGCCTTAGTAATATCAACCGCAGGCTTGTTGTTCATACAGATCTAGGAAATGTTTTGTGAAGTGATGACAGATTAGATATTTCTCCTAGCACATCTATAGCAGAATTCTCTGAATAGCTGGCAGCTACCAAATTTAAGTTAACTGATATGACACAGCTGTTCTACGGATCCAAACAACAGGAGAGATTGAGTGTGGCCCATAGGATCTTTGACTTGGTTTTGCTGCACTCTGGAACATCAGTTAGTAACACTCCTATTCTGTCTTTTATTTAACGCATATTGAGGAGAAGGAGGAGGAAGAGGAGAAAACACTAGTCCCTTAGAAGGAGAAGCCTTCTCCACAGTCTTATTTAATTGCTGGATTTGGAAATCCCTTCGAGGAGGCAAACAGGTCACTTCTAACACAGTTGCCTTCAGAGTTCATTAATAGGGAACAGAAGTGCTGTTACTTCAGATTTCCAGTAGACAAAAGCAGAAATGGACATGAAAAGGAGGCTGTAGAATACTGAGCTACGTGTGATAGCTTTTTACCAATGCAACTGCCAGAGTAAAAATATTAAATATACAGTGACAGCTTTCCAGCAATTCCCCTGAAGGGAAATCAGCACTGGCTTGCCTGCTATTAACAGTTGCTGCTAAACAGAACCGATTAATTAAATTCTATGACATTATGTATAAATGTGTCTAGTGCTGCATGCTACCCCCATGAGGTTAAACTGCTGGTTTTTCACTAAAACAAAGTTCCAAAAGAAATTGGATAAAACTCTACAGCTTATGTCTGGGAAGCAGAAGTTGAATATAAGACAGGAAACTGCCTGCTAGAGTACAGGAAAAGAAAACAGGGAACTAGGTTGCAGATGATGGATGGATCACAATAAAGTCTGGCATTATTTTTTAAAATGTGCACTACATGAATTAAAGGGATTGTTGTGTATATCAATAATCTCAAGCCTAATGAAACGAGCCTTCAGGCACAGGTGGCATTACTTCCAAGGTTTGCCATGACACGTGATCAACTGTAAGAAAGGAAGATTGGCACCTTTTGAGAATGTTGCACTTCCCAAAACCAACTAACCAACTAACCAGCCTGTCTACATCTAAAGATTAAAGAACAATTGCTGGATTTGTATATGTGAAAAGGCCATAATTAGTAGAAGAAGACCTCTGCATGCCTTTGACTATGAATCTGGGTTGCCAGAGGGAAAGTTTTCAACCATCTTTGTGTTGGTATTTCTTTGCTGATGCACTTTAAATTGTCTTATGCCTTTTATTCTTGTATTCTTGAAGGCTTTCACGGCCGGGATCTGATGGCTGTTGTGGGTTTTATTCTTGTTTATGCATTTCACACTGCACCCAGCAATCCTCTCTGATTTTGGAAATAAGAGTCCAGTCTAGTTAGTACTTGGATGGGAGACCACCTGGGAATGCTGGATACGGTATTGGTGAAGAGTCATAGCTCAGTGGTAGAGTATGACTCCTGTCGGCCCAGTCTCCAACCATCTCCAGGTAAGCCTAGGAAGGAATCAGCCTGCAGTGTTGCAAACCTGCTGCCAGTCAGAGTTGTCAATATAAGGGGACCAGTGCTCTGACCCAGCATAAGGCAGCTTCCTACCTTACTCTTTTCTTTTTCTTGCTAGTCATCTTGAGTGCCATTTCTTAGAAGACAAGCAGCGTACAGATCTAAGCAATAAATACATTTTGAACAATCAGTACTGCTATTTACATAATGCACAGCCTTCTTCTGTGACTCTATAAAGTTGAAGCAGGCAGGATAGTGGTGCAACTCAATAGCAGCATCTGTGGAATATCTTTTGGCATTAAGTCCTCTATACCAGTAGTCCCCAACCTTGGGCCTCCAGATGTTCTTGGACTTCAAATTCCAGAAATCCTGGCCAGCAGAGGTGGTGGTGAAGGCTTCTGGGAGTTGTAGTCCAAGAACAAGGTTGGGGACCACTGCTCTATACAGTTGCTTCACCCTACACTTCCAAGCAAACAAAAGTAGCAGCTTTTCTTAAGTGCTGATAAGTTGTGTCTGAAGTATAGGAACTCTAATAGGGTTTTCCAGGGATGTGAGATATGTAAAAAGTTATTTCATCAGTAGCACTCCTTACTGAGTTTCTATGGCTGAGTAGGAATTCAAACCCAGGTCTCCTGAGTCCTAATCCATCACTTTACCCATTAAATCATACTTGTTATCAGGTGCTAGCATAGCTATTTCTTCCAGTATCAGCCACCAAAACCAGAAAGGTGGCGCTGTCAGAGCCTTGGAGAACTCCCACTAGTGTTCTCCAATCTCCACCTAACAGCTAACTATAAGACTTTCTGAAAAGAGGATTGTACCTATTTTTGTTTTCTAGTTTAATCTTAAATATCTTTCTTTCTTTCTTTCTTTCTTTCTTTCTTTCTAATTTCTTTTTTAAATATTTTATTACAAACTACAACTAAAATACATGAACCAAAATACAAATCAATTGTGTTCCCCACCACCCTAGTTGGGACCTCTTGCAGTAGTCTTCTTCTTCCATTGTCTTTCTTTTTCTTCTTCCTTTATTATCCTCTTCTCCAGAACTGCATTGATTCCTGATTTAGAACTTTCCCTTTTCCTTTTGTTAGCATATATTCAATAAATCTGCCCCATATATATCATAATTTTTTAAAATCTCTCCTTTCTTAACCTTTAAATTCTAATTAATTATATGCAACTAGAAAGATGGACTAATGAATGGGTAAAGAAGAACAATAAAGGTAAAGAATGTACAAAGTATGAACAATTTCTATTATGATATTCAGATATTCAGATGAATGAGACAGTGAAGGGTGTAGTAAATAAAATGTATAGACGTCTGCTAGATTTAGAAGAAAAAGAGATTGAGAATGAAGGATTGAAAGCTAGTGTTGGAATAAGGTTTAGGAAAAAGAATAAACGGTGCAGAATGGATTAAGATATGGAAAATGAGGGTTTTACAATTTATGTCAGTGACAATAAAAGACATTTTTTAAAAACTAAGTTTAAGATGGTATTTGACACCAATAAAATTGAATGAAATTAACTCTATGTGAATATGTTGAAAATGTGAGGAGGAAATTGGTTCATATTTTCATATGTGGTGGGAATGTGAAAAAGTACAAAGATTTTGGAAATTAATCTTTAAGAGAGTTGATTACCAATTTATTAACAGCATCCAGATTAATATTAGCCAAGAATTGGAAATCAAAACTTGAATTTCAAATGGAAGAATGGTATAATGAAATATGGAATATTGCTATAAATGATAAATTAAATTAAATATCTCTTTCTTGATTTGTAGTGTGTGAATATTATAGGCCTCTTTCCCATTATGTGTTTTCAGGTCAAAATAACATCAATTGACACCTGCCTCTCAGCTACCCTCTTTGACTTGCAGTATAGGAATAGTTCGGCTCATTAACCAAAGCACTTAAAAAAAAAGATGACAATAAGCCAAAGAAACTGAAGGCTGAAGCAAACGTCATGCTCCTGTTAAAGAATTAATCTCATATGTCTTGCTAGTTAAATTGAGATTTTTTTTAATTGAGTGGAAAATACAGAGCAGTGAAAAGCTAAAGAAACAAAATGCTGGCAGAAATGGATCTTTTGTAATTCTAGGAATCTGAGTTCCAGAAGTTGCCTAGAATTTCCTGGGAGAGAAGAAAGCAGAATTAAAAAAAGATCTCTTTCTACTGCCATTTTCTGCTTCATTCCACACCTGCCAGTTGGGAACAAAAAGGGAAAATTGTCTCAGTCCCACAGCTTCCCGTAGTCTTGCTACCCACTAGCCTTCACAAAGGGAGCCTCTCACTAAACTACTCTTCCCATGGAGCACTGGGACAACTTCCTGGAAGCTGTGGGACTGAGGAGACATTCCGTTCTTCTTCCAGACTGATACACATGGAATGAAGCAGACAATGACAGTAGAAAGACAATTCTTTTGCCTTCTGGATTCTCCTTGCCCAGTTCTAGAGTCTGTCTGGAGGAGTCTAGGTGATTTCTGGGAGTAGAGTTCCTATAATTCCAGAAGTCCCATCCCTAAATGGTGCTCCATTATCATGGGCAATTCAACAGAAGATGTGAATTAGAGTAATTCTACACATAATTTGGCCCTCTCTATGCTTTGGATTTCACTTCCTAGAATTCTTTACCTTATGTGCCAGAGCTTTTGTGAACTGAGGTCAGAATATCAGGATGGTTAGCAAATGTCAAGAACTACTGAATCACAGAATGTTCACACTAATAAATACTGTACAAAGAAATTCACTAAGGAAGTTAGGATACTATTGGTTTTTGAGATAGCCAAAATATGCTTTTCAAACCGTATTTCCTTACCTATAATCAGTACCATTCACAGCTGTCCATGTATACGTTCTGTTCCCTTTGTCAATATAACGCTGAAAAATATTAAGTCAGTTTCTGAAGATAGCTAAAAAAATCAGAGCTTTAAAATCCCAGAAATGTTTAGGGAAAAAAATCATCACAACTGATTACTTAACAGATCAACAAATTTCATCACATTTCTCCCTTTAGAATAAAACCCACGTTTCCCTTTGAAAGTTTGTAAATTTATAACATGTGCAATTCTCATTAATATTCTTTTATGTCTAGATGATGAACAAGCGCAGGAGGATGCTGTCATGCTTAGTGAACTATCAGTTCAACCTAATTTCTTCCAAACTGGATCCATATTTTTGCCCCCTCTTTGTCAATGTTAGTTATCTCTACAAAGAAAAACAAAACAAAACAGAACCACATTTTCAAAATGTTTTTGGTATAAACTTTAGAACAGGCACTACATGTCAAACATGGGGGACACTGCTAGACTGCAACTTGCATCATTCTTCACCACTTGCTTCACCTTTATGTGTAGGAGCAAACTAAACTTTCAGTCCAACATCTGGAAGCCCACATAGGGGCGTGACAGATGGAATATACATAGGGAGATTAAAAACTCCTATTTCCCACCCTAGCATGGTCATGTATCATTCAATTTTCTAAGTGCATGGAGATGGCGGTCATTTATAATTTAGAAATTAGCAGATAGCCTTCTATTAGCCTATTACTATTAAGAGTAGTGACTTCAAAGGAAACTAAAAGAGAAACTATGCTTTCTTGGTTATGGCCCTGTCTCTTTGGAATGAAATTCCAATAAAGGTTCGACAGGCTCCTTCCCTTCAGATCTTTAAGAAATGGCTGAAAAAGGAAATTTTAAAATGGGCTTTTATTAATATTGATCGGGGATTTTAAATTGCTTAAACATTTATTTTAATTTGAGTTAGCTTTGCTTGTAGCTGGATAGCTCGATGGTTTAGGTATCTGGCTGTGGAGCCAGAAATTGGGAGTTTGATTCCCCATAGTGCTTCCTGTGAGTAGAGCCAGCCTGTGTGGCCAGGGAAACCTACATAGTCCCAGGGTACACACTAGAAGAATAGAATGGCAAACCACTTTTGAGTATTCTCCACCTGGAAACCCCTGAAAAGAATCACCATAAATCAAAATTGACTTGATAGCACATAACTGCTTGTGGCAGGGCACTAATTATTTGTTTGATTTAAATTGTATTGATTGTTTTATTGTATAAATTGTTTTATTATGGGTTTCCTTTTATTGAAATTACAGTCCTATAATGCCCGAAGAGTACTACGTGCTGTGGGGTGGTATACAACTTATACAAATAAATAAATAAA